ACACACACACACACACACACACACAGGCGCGCGCGCTCACAACGTATTCAATTGATCGTTGCTTTTTACATAAGTTATTCTGGAATTCATTTAGAGGAGTAGATGGTTGGAGGGCGCCGTTGGTGGTTTCTTTTTCTTTTGTCGCTATGTGTTATCTTTCCCCAAGCACTAAATTTAGTGGAAACTCCAAGGTGCTTTGCTCTTTTTGACGGGTGGTTGGAGGGTGCCATTGGTGAGTCCTACTTCTTTTCTTTTCCTCAGTTGTTTATCTTTGTCAGTCTGTCTATAACACCTCTAATTTTCGGGACTTATAATAATGACCTATTTGTGTTGCAAGTGCTTTAAAACTCGTAACTGAACCTCTAACACCATTTCACCTTCAGGACCTTCATATCCAGAGAAAGCGATGCCTGGAGACGCTGCTGTACGTGTCCGAGATCGAGAACGTGTTCCAGGTGAGTCTCCGCCCAAGCTGTTGTGTGACTGTTAAGCCTTTCATTGCTAGGACGCGACTTTTTACTTGTGTACAGACAAGATACATCAACGTCTTTTTTGTTAATGTTTTAAAAATGTGTTTCTTGTTTCTTTGTTTTTTACATATGCAGATGTAGGTGTCTCCACGCCGTCATTGACACGATTTATATCATTTAGGAGGCGGGCTTTCGACCCTGCCTGTGTGAAGGCCAAACCGGACTTAAAGGATACAACTATACAACATCACAGTAGGAAGACTGAGATAAGAGATACAAATTGTTCCCACTCGGGAATCAAACTGGGGTATCTTGTGTGCGACAAAAAAGCGCCTAACCGTATAAAAGATTTAGTCAAGAGAGATTTACACTGAACCATGTTTTCCCGGTTTTACCGATGAGCACCTGCGCAAGCTGTAATTACATCTTCTAAATCTTACTCTATAGACCAGTTAAAAAATTGAAAAAGAAAACAAAAGGAAGAAGCAGTGAACCAATTTTTGGACAACCCAAGCGAGTACGTGAGTCTAGGCGTCTACACAACTGTGAACACTTAAAGGCGCAACATCGCGATGGCCACTGTGAGCAGTACAAAGGACCTCTCTGCTGCTGACCGCCGACGGGTTCCGAATTGTCTACTTTAAGTCTTATGTAGCAGTAGAAGATTGAATACACGAGGTAGTCTGTCGCTTGAGTGGGATTTGGTTCTAATGTAGGTTGTTGTGGG